TATTGAACATCGAGGGCACCTGCACATTCTGGGAATGCAAGGCCACGTAGGCACTTCACAGAGTTCATTCACCTTTTCTTTGTCCTGAATCCTCGTCTCTCAGCCCCGTATGCCCTTTTCTCCACTTTGGAACAATTCTCCATCTGACAGATGCCCCTTTTCCCTCAGCCTGGTTGCTTCATTCCTGGGGTGCAAAGCTGAGACCTGGTGACCCTTCCCTTCCTTCCCTGACTGGTGGCCCACAAGGGCATCTCCTCTCTTCACCCTGTAAAATTATGTGGGTGTATCTTATCCTAAAGACTCAGCTATTTTATTATTTTTTAAAGGAAGAAGCTTATTGGATGTTATGTAAATATTCAGCATTATTAATTTACAGGGTACATTATGCCTAATACTCTGTAAATATTAGCCAATTAATTTTCTAATAGGAAAAGTAGAAACCTGAATTTCTTCACTGAAATTTGATATTTAGAGTTTTCTTGTTGAATGTTAATTTCGAGAATGAGAAGTATTTTAAGCACAAAAGGTGTTTTAAAGTCTTTGCTCTTATCATCCCAGGCCAAGTGAGAACAACCAAATTAGTGTCTATTTTAGATAGGACTGTTTCAAAGAACATTTACTAATGAAAAGTTTGAGATTGCTCTGTGAGGTGTGTCTCACAAGGTTGACGGCAGGGCCACCACTACACACACACACACACACACACACACACGTGTCCCTCTGCTCACAGGCTCCTGTTCCCCACAGGGGGGCTCTATTCTGACTAAAGATTTGCTCCATAGTAGACAGGACCCGCAGTGGCTCACACCTGTCACCCCACACCGCGGGAAGCTAAGGCAGGAGGGTGGACCTCTCCATCAGAAAGAAATCAAAATAACATCACCACATCTTGGCAGTACTTTTGCTTTAGAGGCCTTTGTTTGAAGCTGCTGGGCGCCCTAAAGCACGTGCTGGCATTTGGATGGTCCTTGCCTTCACGCCTCTTGTGACACATCATCTCTTCTAAGAGATGAGGCATGAATATGTTCTTACCAAAACTTAAAACACAGAGAAGGGCAAAGACCTTCCCGCTCAGTGATGTCACCAACTTATTGTACCCTAAACGTGCTTTCAAATCAAGTATCCCGACTCTGTCTGCCTTGTTTGAGGTGTGATCACAAAAGCTGCCACTCCTTTTAACTCTCTTCTGGTACAAGATATGTGTGACTGAATCACAGAAAATTCAACATACAACCTTGTGTGTTTAGTCAGGCTAGAGCATCACGCTCCACCAATCGCAGGGGCCTGCACATGGCTGGAGTTTGCTCTGTGCTCCTGAGGAGAGCAGTGGGAGTCCAGTGCAGCCGTCCATCTGGGCCTGGCCTTCAGACTGCTTCAGCCTCACCCGCCCCTAGTGGGCCACACTTATGTGGTGAATTGCACCCTGCTCTGCAATGCTCCTGGCTGGAGGAGAGCACAGGCACACCCTTACAGGGCAGGGAGGAGACCGCAGGCATCTATCCTTACAGGGCAGGGAGGAGACCTCAGGCATCCA